ATCATGCTCATATCCCGCAACTTCATTGCCAATACTTTCAATCCATTGAGCGAATTCAACTAAATGATCGTAACTACTATCTCCAATCATTGACTGCAGTCGCATGTTTTTTGTTAAACGCATCACAGTGCAATCTTTCCAGATGTACGAAGAATTAATCATGGAATTAACAATGTCTTGTCTGGTTCCTTTTCGAATTACTGGCAATATTTTCCGGAAATCTCCACCAAAGACTATTTTTTTTCCTCCAAACATTTGGTTTTCACTCAATGGATTGGAAAATCGCAGAATGTCACGCAAGCTTCTATCGAGAGCTTCGAAGCAATACTTATGTGTCATTGGTGCTTCATCCCAAATAATTAATTTTGTCTTCACTAAGAGCTGTGCTAGTGGTGTTCCTTGCTTTATGTTGTAAGTGGAGTTTTCATCCAGGCATAACGATATTTTAAAACATGTATGCGCTGTTCTACCACCTGGCAAAAGTAAGGATGTTATTCCACTTGATGCGACATTCAAAACAATTTCACCTTTAGATCGTAATGCTGCTGATAAAGTTCTCCAGACATATGTCTTCCCTGTTCCATCGTATCCATAGAGGAAGAAAACTTTCCCTGAATCTGTATTAACGGATTGCATTATAGCATCATACGCTGCCCGTTGTTCATCATTTAATGATGCTAAAAGGGAGACGTGCTCACTTGCCAATGTTACACGATCATATTGCATCTCATCAAATATCATTCGATTGGTTGGAGACCAAATTCCTTGATGGTTTGCTTGTGGCATATCTGTGAAATCGCGAACGCTCTTCCCACGACTTTGAAGCAATTCTTCTATATCACATACAACATAATTTTGAATCTCTTCAGTTTCAAGTCTAAGACCTACAATGGTTAATAAAAAATATATTATTAAAAGGGGAATTGTTTTCCCTTTAAGGTAAATTTTTCGAAATATAGAAAATGTAACTGATACCTTCGTGCTGTAAGAGACGACGTTGTCGGTATAATACATCGTCTGCCATATATTGCCAGCATTGACCCCAAACGTGCCTTGGCCTAGACATCTAATCACTTGTCAGTAGCGTCACGAATAAATTCCTTAGCTGTGCAGCAGAAGCCCACTGACTTGCTTCTACAAATGCATCTAGGTATTCCCTATCATCATCAAGTAATCCCAAAGTGTAACATGCGTCACGATATGATTCATGAACGATGCCATTAATAGTTCTAATATCTTCGTAACTTGTAGGGCCACGTACAATGTTCAGAAGACATCTCAAATAATAAGCTTCACCTGTTCCTGGTGGAACATAGCTCAAACGTCTTATAGCAAAGCCTCTCTTTTGAGGCTCATATTCTCTTTTATCTGACTTCCATACAAATTTTTGTGCAAATTTTGCATATGTCAGAGATTTTGCATCATCATATTTTTTTTATTTGCCTTCATCCACGCTAAAAATTTATTCTCTTTGATGCTTTCTCGCCGCACAACGGTGGCAGTATCATCATCATCTTCATAAAAAATCATTTGCTCACCCTGCATATGAAAGCTCAAGCGTTCTACACTTGGATTTTTATACTGTATCTCATATCCAAAAATTCTCCATGTAGCTTCACAGGGAAAGACATATCTACAATCATAATAGAGCTTGATTTCATTTGGCTCGTCCTTAGATGGATCAGTGGAATCTGAAGAGTTTGCATAAAAAACAGCAGTCACTCGATCATGCCCTGTGTTGACGTACTTAAACAAATACTTAATTGAACGTGATTGATTACACCATTCGACATTCAAATGAGCTCCGTATTTCAGTAGCAAGTACTTATTATGCGGCACAACAGAACGATTGTCTAAAATGGTACAATTTTTTTCAATAGTTCGTCCATCATTACGCTTTCTGTATCTTGGATATCCATCTTCATCAATGGCAGTGTCACTAATAAATTGTTTAGGAAAATTTCTCGTGCATCTACCATTGTCCATGCAAGAGGAGTAAGGTGCAGATGGTCCGCAAGGTCCATGAACCATAAAGTTGCACACTGCTTGGAAATATTTTGGATCCAAATCTTTATCTGGAAGCTCAGCAGTAATAATTTTGTCAATATTTGCAGGCGTAGGAAATTTGTTTTGTTGGGCCAGAAATAATAATATATGCGCATGTGGCAATCCTCATTTCTGGAATTCAACTGTATATATAACTGCATTCGATAATAAAATTAAATAGTTAATCGAAGTCTATGCATGAAAGTATTCAAATAAAGTAGAAAGAGATAACAATGTTGTACCTGCTCGAAATGTACCAAATAGCTTTTTTCTATGCAGTTCTTTTATGAGTTCCTTTAATTTCATATGAAACACCTTGCAGCATATATTTGGACGGTCTTCTGGCCTTAGGGTTCTTTTCTCTAGAAATCGTGTAATTTCTGGCCATTTGGGATTACACGTAAACGTTAAAAACAAATCTGGATAACCGGCCCACCGACAGATTGCCATTGCGTCTTGATAATTCTGTATCATGTAACGTGCACCTCCAACAAAAGTAGACGGAAGAACTACTCTTTTCTCTGATGTTGATGTATTAATGTCGCCATAAAGTAGCGAGTCTGACAAACGATTATACATTTCGCATCTCAGCTTCTTCTGGTGAGTTTTAATCCATAATAATCTCAACAATTCAACTATTGTATACCCATCTACCACTAAGCACCACCTTACTCACATTATAAAAGGTAGAAACATTAACTTTTCCTGAATTTTAATTGTTGCAATAGTTAGGCATGAAAGAATTTTTGAAAAAGAAATAATGTTAAAAGAACATATAATAATGATACCATTATATCGGCTAAGTTTCACCATCTGCAAACAAAGAATTGGTGGACTTGTTAATCCTTCATTGAGTCCATCGATCACTTTATCTATATAATGAGTCCACAACGTACAATCTAGACGGTTTCCCCTAAACAAATGTTCATTAAAGGGATTAATAATAGAAAGCTCTAAAAAAAATTAACATCAAATATGATAAATTTATGTTATGTATACCTATGGTCTTCCAATACAACCTCCATCATCCTCTCAGGGGCAGCTTTAACCATGCGTTCTACGGGCATGGTACGACTAACAACTTTTCCAATAACATCTGTGATTAAAATAATAGTATATAATATTTTTATTTAAAGTAATGTATACTCGACATATAAAGATTTTTGATATAAAAATTAAATAATTTACTCACCAATCAACAAAATGTCGTCCACACAAGGTAGTAACTTGATATCATCGAATGCCATGAATTGGTATCGAAAATTTGGAAATAAGTCTGACGACAATTTTTTAATTTTGGTTTTTACACAAAATACCATCATAAAAGGATGGGAGGTTGTCTTAGTGTTCTGGAAGTTGCGCTGAACTTTGAACCGAGTTAAACCATAAACTTGATTTTCTTTAATTTCCTTTTCGAAGATTTTGATATTCTGATCTTTTATCTGTGCATGGATCCGGTTTCCCTGTAAATCAAGAAATAGTTATTTTATTATAAAAACAATTTGTTTAATAAATAACAACGATTTTAAAAAATTCTAAAAAACCTGTTGATCATGAAAGATGACATCAAGAGATTCCGGTGTGCGATCATGCGCAGTAGTTCGATAAACTCTGACGGCTCGCACCATTACCATAAACGGGCCTAAACCATCATCAATTTTGTCCAAAGTTGACCACACACGCATTGTAATATACGGTTTGTTTTAGAACTCAAGAAGAATAGCGTTGAATTGTGGATTGTGGATCTCGTAAATGGGATCACAATTTATACGAAAATATTAATCTCGTAAAAGGAAACGAAAAAGTACAATTGGTAGCACACATTATACGAATTAATTATCAAAGAAAACCTTCTGGATCGAAAAAGTACAATTGGTAGCACAAATTATACGAATTAATTATCAAAGAAAAGTTTACTTTCTTTGATAATGTTACGTAAGACTTGATAATCAAAGGAAAGTCATTTTCCAAGGGTACTAAATATACGAATTATTGCAAAGTATAATTCGTAGCTTTCCTTTTTTCCTCCAAATAAATAATAAATATACGAATTTTATACTGTGTATTTATTAATTATTGTACTGCTCAAACTGTGTATTCTAGAATACTTTATTCGTTACAAATTATTAATTATTTTCATTTTTTTCGATACAAATTATTAATTATTTTTTACCAAGGCATGTAACACGTTAAATCTAAATTATTAATAATTTCTGTTTTGTACTGTTTATTTATAAAACATACTCGGATTCTTTTTTTTAATGTAACCAATCATCTCTGTGGGAATAAATTAAAGAGAAATATATTTATTTATTGAGTAAAAAAGAATTTTATTGAGTAATTATTAGAATTTTATTTATTACCTTATTTATACTACGGAGTATCTACTTATGTAATATATACACACAGTTTCCTTTTCCCATGTTTCAATGGGTCAAAAGAGAACGGAATGCCATAATTAATAGAGTAATTACTACCTTTTTAATTATATTCATTAGCCATGTAAATACACAGTTTCCTTTGATTGTTTCTCGTGTTTCCATCCAACCTAAAACGACCGTAGATTTAATTGAATCGCATAGATCAACAGCTGAAATCGTTAAGCTGATGGGCAGGAAATTTTTTCCCCTGCTTTTATGAATAAAGGATGTTGGCATTACTTGGTATTATAATTTCTATTTTGGTATAAAAACATTGAAGAGTCTATTTTGGTATGTGGAACTTGATTTAGTGTCTTTTAACTAAGTATTTTCCCCTGTCACTAAAGCATCAAACATAAAATCTCAACAAAGTGTAAACATAAAAATAAAAGTTACAAAGTGTCGCTCCCATAGTCCCATGAACCCATTTCTACATACCATCCACCATCTCTTAGGGTTTGTTTGTATACAGAATTGATAGATTTGGAATGAATCGAAATTGAATTTTATGAAATTGAATTGGATGGAATTTAGTTATCTCATTCTAATTCATTTTATGCACTACCGATTCCCAATCCACATACATATGTGCTATCAAAGAGTAGAACTGAAATTGAAGTCTCCAATTCCAATTCCATAACTTGAATTCTGTGTACCAAACGGAGTCTTAGTCTTTGCAAGCCATTGTGTTTACCCTTAGGACCTGTACATGAGACAAACCACATGTAAGCTTTACGATCAAGAAGTATATGCAAATCACATATAGATATACCACAGTCCGTAAGGGCCTTACATGCTTCAAAATATTTTTCACAATTGACTGGTTGCTGACTTTTAATCCGCAGAGCCCACCTATCCTAATTGGGACTTGTCTCTTTCATAGTTTCGCTCATCAATTACTTTTGTGTGACATTTACTTAAACATCGCAAGGATCTTAGAGCATCATTGATGGGGAGGGAAAGTTTGAGAAATGGTGATGTGGAAGAGACTACAATGAGGAGAATGGCTAGAGTGGAGAGGGGAAAGGAGATAGGGGTCGGGGGGGAAGAACGAAATGGGAGAAAAAGAAAAAGAACTTTTCTTTTGGCTTGAGTGGTAGGAAGCTTACTCCCCAATATTCATAGAAAAGTTCGCCCAATTCCAATAGAAGAAACAAAAAGAAGAAAGCAAAGAGAAAAAAAAAAGAGGGAAAAAGAGAAAAAAATTAAAGATTAATTTTTTTTATAATGATATAAATTTTTTTACAGTAAATATTTTTTTATTCAATTTTTTTGTGGCATATATATTTTTCTAAAAACTATAAAATAGACTCCGTAAATTTTGAGTTACTTTTTTTAAAATAAATTATTTTGATCTATTAATTAAATATTCTGTAAATAAAATAAATTTATGACATGTGGGGTCTACCATTAAAAAATAAGGGAAAGGGTGAGGAATTATTAAAGTAATGTGGCAAAAGTTAATGATGTGGAGTTAAAAATAGGAGAGAGAAAGGGGAAACTGGGGGAATGGAAAAAATGCTCTTACATACTAACATAACATATACCTTTTTTCGTTCCAAAATAATTGCAACATTAACATCTTCACGCTTGTCAATGCACAAATTGTTTCCATCATCCCTGATGGAGCCAAGGATTCACTAATATTGAAGTAACACTTAGTCAATGCAACTATCGACACTCATAATGGGTCATCTAAAAATAGTCGCACTATGTTTTAAACATAGGGGCTAGGTTGCGTACATCCAACCCCCTTACCCCGCAATGGGCGAAAGCCTTTGAGGGTTGGAGGCACTGGGGTAATATATGCTGTAATTTTTGCTTCTCAATGCAAAACTCAAGTCGTTAATAGAAATAATACCTCCAATTATGCTTTTTTAAAACTAATAAAATTGATATTATGAAAGTTTTATCGAGACGAATCTAACTAGATCTCACATGACAATTTTTACTTACATAAAGATAAAAGAAGATGGTCAAATGAGGGTGCGTGAATGTTGTAAATTTTTTAGCATTGTGATTATTTTGAAATGAAGGATATAACTGGTGGAAAGAAAAGATGACTTAAATCAAATAACTATCAAAATGGGAAATTTTAGAACAAATCTTCTTTATGAGATGTTTTAAGTGTCAATCACGTGTCTTTCTCTCACTTCTCTGATTTCTTACTTACCAATATCAATAATTTGGTTTGCTTCACTATCTCATAAGTTATAAGGATGTTAAAGAAGTGGAATTTATTACAAAGTAATTGTTATTATTATGGTGAGTTTACTCTGATTGAGTCAGGTAACATTATTTGTTGTATGTGAGCTTTCTAAACATCATAAAGTTGATATTTATGTTTATTCTGAATGGTGTTACAGTTTCCATTTCGGTGCTCATATTTATATAAATATATATGGCTATACAGTACATAGTATTATTTTTAATTCACTCCGTAATTGTTATAGCATTGGTTTGACCATTGGTCTAACCGGCTGGCCCATTGGGCTCGTGAGCTACCCACATTTTCAGTCCTAGGTCTGGACCAGTTGCAATGAAGATGATGAAGACTCACACTAAGAGCAATATTGATAAGCTAGCCTTACCGCACCAACAATATGAAAATTAATCATTGTTCAGACTTGATAAGCTCTTCAACTGAGGTTTTGTACTTGGAAATAAGCTCCCTGAAATTAAATAGGGAAGGAAGGGTGTTCATCAGGCAGCGAAGATGAATTGTTCTTAGATCCAAATGATAGTGGATGAATTCAATCATGCAAGACAAATGTACACACTTTCGTTGATTTGACAATTGTTCCGCTTCAGCAAGTTTCCTTTTTTGTCCCTCAACTGCCTGTAAAAAAACATCCAATCAGATATTTTATGTGTGTTAGATTTTCTGCCTAAGCATAATCACTTCACCAAAAAGGCTTCAAAATAATTTAGGCATCTAAGTTAAGAAATAAGAACAAATGAAACTTGCGTTGTTCTGAAACTAATAGGGAGTATCTAAGATCGGGCATTATGAAATGAGTAAATGACTATTAGTTGAAGCTATATTTCTTTGCAACGGAGTGAACATCATCACACAACAATATCACAAATAGAAACATAAACCAATGCTAAAGAAGGAAACTTTCTCATTTCTTTCGGTGAGTTGTTAGTACTTACTATGGAGTATAAACTAGAGAAAATTCCCGAGGACTACAATATCATATATTGAAATTACCAGGGATTTTGAGCTGATTGAAGCTGAAATCGAGTTGAGCAACTGTTGGCACTTGTGGAATTGGTTTTTAGTTTCATTAACCTTATTTAAAAACCAAAAATTTATGTCATGCAAAAACCTTATTTACATTCAATAAAAATCTAAAAAAAGGAATAACACCAAAGAAGCATAACCAGAGCATCCGAATGCTGATCGCGCATCCCGTTCTCGATCGTATCCGCTAAATTCTCAACCAGCTACGCATCAATAGAAGATACGAGTCATGTATTAGGGATCACAACATAACCAAACGGGCTAATTTGAAAAGCTAGGTTTTCAATACCGAACCTGTATGAGATGAAAATGAGACGCGAGTGACTGATACTGCTGCTGCGGCGGAGGAGGCGGCTGCGTCTGCATCTGCGGTTGCTGATACAGCTGTTGCTGCTGCTGCTGCACTTGTTGGAGAAAGAGATGGTCCTGATTAGAGGGCGTAGAGGGGTTGCTGTTAGTCTGTATGTTAGGGATCATCGTCCAGCTTCCACCTCCGTAGGCTTCCATTTTTAGCACCAATTTGAGTTTGTGGGGGTAGATAAGAAGAAATCGGGTGGGTTAAGATTATCCCTTCTGGCTTCTGGAGTTCTGTTCCGAACAGAATTGGACGTGTCCAATTGTGGTGTGGGGTGTTCATGTTTTAGGTCCAGACCGAAAAAACTGACCGAACTGGACCGATAGGTCCAGACCGAACCCGGACCGAATCGATTTCGGGTCGGTCTTCGGTCCTATGTATTTAACATTTCAGATTTCGGTCTGGTCCGGTCTAAACCCGATTCACAATCGTTCTGGACCGAATAGACCGAATAGTCCATTTAATTCCCAATTGTCCAATAGTCCAGCCCACTGTCCATATCTATTTTTTAGAGCCCAAATACCCAAATATTGAAAAATCCATCCCAAAGCCAATTCCCTCGTAGTCTGGGAGTAAACCGATGGCCGACCTTCTCAGAAAGTAGGGATTCATCCTCGCTACCCGCTGGACCGACAACGAGCGACGGCCGATGCTTCTCCGATTTCCCATGTCCTTGTTTCGAAAGGCTTCAATTGGATTGTGACGGTATGTATTAATCACGATTATTCTTGCATGCCCTCTCTAATCTTCTTCTCTAACTTTGGAAGTAACACAGTGGCCTTCGATAACCGGCAGTGATAATCGGCAGCACCGCAGCAGCATTCCAATCCTGATTTCCAGCCATTCCAGGTAATAGTAATAGCGTAATAGATGAAAATCAGTCTTTTCGGTCTTCTCGGTTCGGTCCATGTGAATTCGGTCCGGTCCGGTCCAAAACCGAGTACATTTAGGTCCGGTCTTCGGTCTAAGTTTTGGTATATTTCGGTCTCCGGTCTGGTTCGGTCTGGTCCAGTCCGGTTTTAGACCGATGAACACCCCTAGTGTCAAGGCCCACTATCCATATTAAATGGAATTTTTCACAAAATTATGTTTGACGGGGAAAAGGATCCATCATTGCCAAACATTTTAATTTAACAATAAAAAACTAATACTCCCTCCGTCCAAGAATATTCTTCCCATGTTGACTTGACACACTTATTAAGGAATAGTACAAAAATGCCAAATTTCTAAAAATGAACATACTATAAACTTTTAAATCTCTTTTTCTTATTAAAAAAGCAATAAAAAAAATAGATTGGTGATAAAATAGAAGGGTATATTTGAAATTTATCCTTAAAAAGTATACTAAAAAGGGAATTAGGAAGAATATTTCCGGATGGGCCAAAAAGGAAAGTTTGAAGAAAATTTCCGTACGGAAGTAATGTATTAACAGTACATTTTTAAAATTTGCTCTTTTACTAGATGTTTAGACTTCTTTCTTCGCATGGTTCTTTGAAGAGGTTTGCCTCAACTCAGAGTTTAGTCTTCTTTCATCTTCGTCAATCTTCCTTCTTCTTCGCACATGCACGTTAGTTGAAGCGATGTTGAGAATGAATCAAGATTATGTCATAATCTAACAACCAAATAGTAATATATATTGTTGCACATTAAGAAACTAATCTGTATTATTAGGTGCACCTGCACTTCCATCACCTTCAGCTTCATTGTCTCTACGGGAAAAATAGTCTCTAAATAATGTTTGCATATCTTCTCGGGTCTCGTTTGGATGATGCGTGGGTTCAAATAGCAGCTGGATAATATCTATCCTCAAAGCTAGCGCGGCAAAGGACAAAGAGTAGCATATGACTCGGCAACGAAGCTTGTATCCATGTGCTTCAAAGATCTCTCATGAGGCATAGTACTTAACATCCTGCCTCGTTTAAGGACATGATTTTTAAAATCTTGTCCGTCAACTGAGTAGTAGTAAACCATGCTTGAAACGATTTTTATGATTTTTTCTTGACTTCATAAGACTCCCAATCATGCATGTTGTCACGCCCCAGACCGCCCGACGACGTGGACAACCGTCGTACGACTCATGGATTCCTTTATCGAAAGGGATCTATGGATCATACAAGGCTAACAGTATACATGTATCACATTTAGAAAAACATAATCACTTTATTATATAAGATAAGATCAGAGTTTAAGCGGAATTACAACATGCCAGCCCCAAAGGACTAATTAAGGAAATACAACTTGATTGGAGTAGTTTAAGAAAACAACATGAGCATAATAAGAACTTCAAAGAGACTACAAACCACACTGAGGTCTTGCTTGCAACTATTCACGATGAAGTTCCAGCACGAGAACAGCCACGCACCTAAAATAGTTATGAGGAGGGGTCAGTACAACGCCACATCATGTACTGGTGAGGAGAGAAATACGATATCCCATTAATTTGTTCATGACAAATCAACTTCTGGTTGCACCTCCCTCGGGAATCCTTGTAGAGTAAAAGAAATTTTTGGACTAGATTGAATTTACCCAGCTTGGGGTGTAGTTTGACAATCACTGGTACAAATACATCTTTTTTTCTTCAAAAATTTACCTTTTTGAGAATAGGAATATTTACCTCTTTGTAAAGCTAGATTATTGGCATGTAATTACTCAGGAGAGTAGTTTCTAAAAAAACAAGACATATCTCAAGTATTTGACTAATATCCTTGTTTCAAAATTACAGTCCTTTGTCTAAAGTAAACTATGCAGAGGTTAACTATAACTCCATTCTTCTTTAGAAGTTTATAATTGCTTCGAACAATAAAAATAACCCCTTTTTTTAAAAAATAAGGATTATACTAACACATGAAAAAAAATGTTGAGTTATCACAAACAATTTAAAAGTATAGAGTATTATTCCCACTCACCTTAATGTTGTCTCCCTTTTTGGAATGCAGGTATTGGGAAAGGCCTTGGCTTAGTTATAATGGTTTTTTTAGGTTGTTGAAAAAATAAGGGCAGAGAGTGGAGTAGTTTTTTTGTAAAATATTTAGGAGGGTGTTATGTATCAAGTAAGGACTTGAGGAAATTCTACATATTGAACTTTTGGGTGTGGGGGTTTATATAGTTTTAAAATTCCCCTCTAGCTATGTAAAATAATGCCGAGTAGATGGATTGGTTGAAGTGCTCTTATCATTCTTTATTGTATGTGCAGACCATTTGAGGCTCTTATTTGGTGATGGCAATGTATCTGTATTGACTATTAATAAAAGTGGACCTTCTATGTTTTATCATGATTCATAGAGGTTGGTGCTTTGTGTGATGGAATTCACTAATACGTGGCCTTCACTCTTCTTCTTTTCCTATTGTATACTTATATATTAATATATTTCCAAAAAATCAGTTCGTCCTTATAGGATAAAAAATTTATTTGAACATAATATTAAAATTGTCATTTCTACATTATTTCCTTGTACAAATTTAGAAATGTAAATTTCCGACATTACACATGTAAACACACAAAAATACTTACATCAAGATATATCTATTAAATATATATAACAATAATATGAATAAGAAATTTGTACGATTCGAATAAAGAGAGAATAGGTTAAATGAATTACAAAACTAGCATACTTGTTCTCCCAAACATGTATGAAACAAACAAATCCATATTCATGTATATATGTTCACCGACATCAATAGTGAAACATGCCAAAGCCTTGCTCACTATAAGCCTAACTTTGTTGGGGTCTTTGGGGGCGGGAGTTGGGCAAAAATAAAAGACTCACATCCTCGGACAGCCTTTTTCGTTGCTCAAAGAAATAATCGGGGAGTTGATGTTGATTGAATATACCTTTTTGCACAACAACGTTCAGCATAGACAAGATTGAGAAACTCAAACCTTCATTTCCATGTACATAAAAGCAAGGGTTATAATATGATGTCCCAATATAACACTCATCCCTTCTTCGGATCTTCTTCCCTGACAATTCATCAATTTGCACTCTATGTTTCCTAAAACTCTATAACCTTGTTAAAATTTAAAAGTAAGGCCCTTTTAAAGTGCAATCGATATCCAATACGTGTTACACCGATAGATTGCTCTAGTAAAACTTGTGGTCCGAATCCACGAATCATCATCATTAAGCACTTCATACAGATCTCAATATCATCAACACATGTTCTGTAATATAAGAGAGGAGATGAAGTCGATTGCACCAAGAGAACCAAAGAAGAGTAATCATCTGGCCTCTGAATTTTGTTGATGTCTTTCAAGGTGAACTCTATCTTGATGTTAGAGCTTAAAAAGTTGGATTTTATTTACTTAAAAGAGTTGTTTCAAAAATACTTTTTTATAGAAAAAAATACTTGTTTATAATAATGTTGCACAAATCATAGTTTTTAGACAATAAATACTTTTTTACATTTAAAAGACTTGGTTTTGGGCATAAAAAGATTAAAAATATACTGTGGTGAGTAAAAGGTAGTCTTTGGGGGGTCTTAATTAGTTAAAGCTTGGGCCAAAAGTTACCTTTTGGATCTAATTAAATAAAAAAATAGAAAAATCAGACCGAGGACTCATTTATTCGTACACTCCCATAGAAACACACACATTTATGATTTTAATTTATTCGTACACTCCAGCACACACATTTATGACTTTAGAAAGAGAAGAATGAGCAAGGGTTCACCAAAAAGTTCCCATCACCACAAATTTTCAGCGATTGGAGTCGCACAACCAGCAAATTCGAAAAGAGGAGAGTGCAAGCGTCCTTCTAGTGTGCATCACACGTCCATAGTTTCACCTCACCAAACATTTTAGTCTGAGTTTTCAAGGTAGAAATCTTCAATCTTCATTTTTATACTTCCGGTGTATAGATTCTAGGAATTGAAGATTTAATTCCATGTTTATTCTTATCTCTACGATTGTAATGCTCGTAACTATGTGCATTAGCTAGCTAAAAGTAAATACAAGGAACCAAGATACTTATAATCTAAGTATATGTATTCTTGATACACGCTACCCCCAACCCTCCTGCCCCAACCCTCCTGCCCTAAGGCACTCTTTCACACCCAGACCCCTACAATCCCCCGAACCTAGGCACACCATACTCAAGACCATGTAGTCACGTACCCCAATCGCAACCCAACCCCATGCAAACCCAGCGACAAAACCCGAACCACACTAACACACAAGAAAAACAATGGAGGCCAAATCAAAGGTGGGATAAATCACTTGAGCCTTGATAAGAACTGATTAGATGAATTTTGAACACCTTTTTTGATGATGTCTAGCCTATGGCTGGCGTTTCCTCATCTTAGTTGGCTTGGCTGTGCGTCGATCGAAAAAAGGAGTGGCGAGGGTTTTTTAACTGCGTTGTATATTAGATACGAAGTAATAGGAGTATAATTACAAAATAGCTTTTTTAGTTTTCAATTCGATTAGTTTTTTTACTTATATTTTCATTTCAATTTCAATTTATTGTCTAAATTGAAAAAAAGTAGATTAAGTTATAATATACTCACTCCGGCCCAATTTAAGTTCTATGTTCACTATCCACAAAGTCAAACTTCATTACTTTTTTTATCTATTTTTGTTACTCATTTGATATAAAAATAACATAGTAATATCACTTCTTGTTTTGTAAAACTTTTGATGTAGTTTTTAAAATATGTAATTTTTTTATTCCCACTTCAATTCTGAAATAAATTAAATTCAAAATAAATTTAGTTATATAATTAGTTTGTAGTCATGTTTTTTTTGCAAAACAGACTGCTCATTTCATTCTTTTAGTTTCAATTAGTTTTTCTTTTGTTTTTTACATTTATATTCCTTTAGTTTTTTGTAGTTTCGTTTTTTTGTTTCAAGTCATTTTAAATTCATTTTGTCTAAATTGAAAAAACATAAACTGAAGTTAATCGTAGTATTTATTTTATATGATTGTGTATACGTTATAACATTCATTTATTTTAAAATATATATAATTAAATTGTAATAAAAACACTAAAAAAAAGTATTCAAAAAACCAATGAAAAAGTAAAATTACTATGATAATTTAGAGTCAAATCTACTGAATTAGAGTTTATAATTCCATCATTACTACAAAAATGGGCTTTAGCAGTTTTTTAGATTTTTTGCATTGGTTTCTTACATATGCAAATGCATTCAAATGAATCAATGCAATTGCTCCGGGGCAATAACATCATTTGTAAAAAAACTGATGCCAAAGCTCTTTTTAAAGAACTTTTGCATTGGTTATTTAGAAATAACTGATGCAAAAGCTATATTTTAAATAAAAAAGCTTTTGCATCCGTAATTTCTAAATAACCGATGCAAAAGCTTTTTTAAACATATTTTGCATCAGTTATTTATGAATGATCGATGCAAAAGATGATTTAAAAAATAGGAAAGAAGGATGATTACTATGAAGGTGTCTAGGATTTGGCCAATGGGTTATTTCTTCTCACCCATCCTTGTCCTTCCTTTGCTAGTATTAGGAAGTATAATTAAATTAGGATACTTCTTTCCTTTCCTACTAAGATTATTCTTTTCTTTCCTACTTGTACTTTGATTACTCTTGTATTCCCTATATATAGGGCCATATCTCTCAATATTCAATAAGACAAGTTATTATCAAATTGTATCATGGTATCGGAGCTAAGGCTCTCAAAAACCTAGCCTCTCTTTTTTCCGACCGCCGCCCACCATGGTAGCCCCGTCGGATCCTTTGGCGTCCTTACCCTCCGGAGTAAAACTTTTGCTTCGGAGTCTCCACAACTTAATCCCAGAAAAACTCACCGAAACAAATTATCCGGCATGGTCTCTCAATGTCCAGACAGCTCTTTCAGCTAATCTCCTCCTTGGATGGATTGATGGTCATGAAGCAGCCCCGGCGCCAACTATCTCCAAAAACGATAAAATCGTCCCTAATCTAGAGTATACCTCCTGGACCATCGTTGACACACAGATCCGCGCCTGCCTCCTAGCGGTCATCAGCCC